AGCTACATGGAAAATACTCTTTCTTCAACCAAGAGGCCACCAGCAGTGGCCCAGAAGGCACTGGACCAGAATCTATTGAAGAGGAACTTGAGGAGGAAATTGTCTATAGGCCTTCTTTCTGGGGACGGTGGAAAGAAGGGAATGAGAAAATCGCCCCCGAAGCATACGAGTCTATCCCCCGTGATTAATGCGACAATCAGAAGAAGAAGATTTGATGAAGGCACCATCTATCTTTTAGAAGATTTATTATCTGTTTTTCACTGTCCTTCTAATCACCCGAAGTGAATGAATGAAAATGAAAATTTCCTTTATATTCAAACTACGTAGGGCCTGAATTCTTCTTTGGAGATACGTAGGCAGCCTTTCAAGGCCCGACCCCTATCTTTTTAAAATTTTCTTTTCCCACTTTTATGCTACAAGGAAACATTGAATTCACATCAACAGATGCCAAGAGATGCAGCAAAAAGACCTTAGCTCAACGCGATTTAACCTTTCTGAGTCACCAGCCTCAAAAATAAAATGAGCATACTGCTTGTTCAAAAAATTAGTCCCCATTATTCGTGGGTTAACATGTCCTCAAACAAAGCAACTCTTATGTGTTTATATGTCCTCTATGTGATATTTTGCATTATCTGTCCTTAATCAAAACTAACAGATTTGCCTTTGAATTGTTTTCCTCTACAGGTAGGTAGAACTGATCTGTGTTGATAAGTTTGCTGAACATCATTATTTCACTAGATCTAAAGGTCCTACAAATTCCATCCCCAGTCAAAGTTCACAAAAGGGAAAAGCAACAATGGGTGATAACAACAAAGAACCCGACCTTACTGATGTCGCGGTGGCTCAGCCCGCCCTTGCCGATCAGAATGAACTGATCCTCCGATTTTTGCTGTCAACGCTCAACCAGATGAAAGACCTCCAGCTCAAATTGCCCCTCCTAACGTGGAACAAACTCAAAATCTGCCTTCAAGTCCTGCTCATAATCCCTCCATCATTGACCTTACCACTAAAACCCCCATTACGCCTCAGTCTCTTATCAAACACCACCCCTTCTCAAAATACCAGCCTCCAAGCACCGCTCCCTCCCCCCCCCCCCAATGCAAACCACCAAACCGGCCTACCCCCTCACAGCCAAAACGCTAATAACCCACGCATTTCCCTCTTTCACCAAAACTAGTATACCAGCCCCCAGACTTTTCCCCAAAACTATCACGCCCCTTTAAATGGCCAGAGTCCCTCTATTGCTCCACTACTACCACAAAAAGCCACTTTCCAAATACCGGTCCCCAACGAGCATGACGCCCATGGTTCGGAGCTCAACCACTATGAGGAGAGGGAGAGAGAGTGGAGATCAAAGAAAGAGACCGCCAAGATAGATATGAAGGTGGAAATTAGAAAAGCCATGAAGGAGTTGAACTGCATTCCTGAGGTCGTGGGGTTGAGTTACGAAGACCTGTGCATTCATCTAAATTTGGACCTCCCGGAAGGGTTCAAGGTGCCAAAATTTGACATTTTCGGAGGAACGGGGAACCCCTTAGCACACCTGAGGGCCTACTGTGACCAACTCGTGGGAGTTGGGAGAGACGAAGCTTTGTTAATGCATATTTTTAGCTGAAGTTTGAGCGGAGAGGCTCTAGAATGGTTTACGTCTCATGAAACGAGATAGTGGTTTAGCTGGAACGCTCTAGCTAAGGACTTCATCGAACAATTCGCCTACAATGTGGAGATCGTTCCTGATCGTTACTCCTTGGAGAAGATGAAGCTGAAGTCGACCGAAAGTTACAGAGAATTCGCATATAAATGGCGAAATGAGGCAGCTAGAGTTAGACCTCATATGTCAGAAAAGGAAATTGTCGAAGTGTTTGTGCGGGTGCAAGAGCCCGAATATTATGACAGAATCATGTTGCTCGTTGGAGCAAAATTTGCTGAGATAGTCAAGGTAGGTGAGACTATTGAAGATGGATTGAGAACCGGGAAGATTGCATGTGCTGCTGCCTCACCCGGATCCTCGGGTTTGTTGAGGAAAAAAGAGAAGATGTGTCTTCTATCTCTTATGAGGGAAAGTAGACCCCAAAGAAATCCTCTTCATACCAAGGTCGTTATCGACCTTCACAGAGTTCATACCCGACTCGTTATGCACCGAATGATTACCAAAGTACACCTCCCCCCAGTTACCAAAATACCCCTCCTCCCAGTTATCAAAAAACTCCCCCTCTAGTTTACCAAACCCTATCTCATCACTACCAAAATGCCTCTCCCAACTATGCCAACGTTCAGGCAAATTATCAAACTACTCCCCCAACGTACCAAACCCCAGCTCCAGTTTACCAAAATACCCCCTTGAACTACCAAGCTCCACAACCAAATTACCAAACCAACTCATATCACAGATATCAAACCCCCCATCCAAATGCTCCAAATTATCGCCAGATGCCTCTTCCACAACAAGGCAATTACGATCTCCCCCGTCTTAGATTTGAGAAGAAGCCTGCTAGAATTTTCACTCCACTTATTGAAAGCCGAACAAAGTTGTTCGAGCGATTAACTGCGGCAGGATATATTCATCCAGTGAGGCCCAAGCCGGTTGACACTAGCTCAAAGTTTTACGGACCTGATCAGAGGTGTGCGTATCACTCCAATAGTGTTGGACATAATATCGAAGACTGTATCAACCTGAAGCATAAAATCCAAGACCTGATTGACCAGAACGTGGTCTCTCTTCAGACAATCGCGCCTAATGTCAATAGTAATCCTTTGCCAAATCATGGAGGCGTCACTATCAATATGATAGAGACATATGATGATTGGTGCATGATCAAGGCAATAGTTCCGATCGCTCCTGATAAGCTGGAAAGGGTTGTAGCCTCGTTGAGCATTAGATAGAAGAAAGAGTTTGTGATTCTGACACCCGAGAAGGTTGTTGCCTTGGTGCCCCGAGAAACTCTTGATCGACTAAAGTTTGTGATTGAAACGGCTGTTACCCAGGGTATGACCATATCTGGCAGGTGCTACACGCTAGAAGAGCTAATCCAGGGTGTGCAGAAGAAGGATCAAACAAAAAGGCCGATCAGTGAAACCAGGGTCGAGGAGTTTTGGAGAAAAATGCAGCCGAAAGATTATTCTATTGTGAAGCATTTGGAGAAGACGTCGGCTCAGACCTCTGTGTGGGCCTTATTGATGAGTTCACAGTTGCATAGGCAGGCTCTGTTGAGGGCTTTGGATGATACTTATGTGTCTGTGGGTACTAATAGTGACAATCTAGCATCCATGATAAACCAGGTCATTCGAGGAAACCGAATCAGTTTTTGTGACAAAGAGTTGCCCTTTGAAGGTAGGATGCACAACAAAGCTCTGCACGTCACTATCAAATGTCGGGACAAAGTTATAAAACGTGTTTTAGTCGATGATGGGTCTGGTCTCAACATCTGCTCACTTTCGACTCTCAAGCAGCTGAAATTCGACTTGAGAAATGTTCAACTGTGATGACCCGAAAGGTCATTTTTGGAAATTTTAAACTATTCGTTTAACTTGAGTTAATTAATCGATAGTTAGTGGGCTAAAGTGATCATTTATTTATGTGATTATACCATTAGGACCATGTGTTAAAAATAAGTTAGTGGATTTTGTCAGTTTTAATAAATAATTAATTTAGAAATAAAGAAGATTCAGAAAACACAGAAGAAAAGGGAAGAGGAATAACCTAACCTAGCCGCAACATCGATCAGAGAGGAAAAAGAGTTGCAGATACACGTTTTGGCCATCTTCAATTCTTGGTAGGCATACATTAATTACTTTATATATAAAAATAAGGATAGTTGCTGGCATATTACATTATAATATTGTTGGTTTGGTACAGTGTTAGCCGTGTTATTATTATATTAATTGTTATCAAATTGTTGGTTATTAAGATGTGATGATTGGCAATGATTGCCATTGAAATTATTATAGATCATTTTAAAGGGTTACTGAGTTAAGACGTTAGGGATTTTTATATGTATATATATATATATATGCGTATTCAATACATACATGTGAAGATCAATTTCTTACTATTATGGTACAGAGATAGGCATAATATATTTACGTATGTTTATGGACTAGAGGGTGTTGGTTAAATTATTATAGTTGGCGGATGAACAGAACTAGGATGTAGGATATGTTTATCTGTGGGTTAATATTTTTAATTCATTAAGAGTTAGATGGGATATTGAGGTAAACTGTTGTATGTTTGTTAAAATGGGTTGTGAGTTTGTTTTGGAAAATAATAGGAATGGTGGGCCAAGGTTTGACCATAATGAGCTAATCATTGGTTGGAATAAAAGGGTGTCAAAGGAAAAGTTAATGTTCCTAAATCAATTCGGTTAAATTTTATATT